TTAGACTAATTTCGTATTATTGCCCTTTTTAGGTGCTTATCCCTAAAATAAGCTAATTCAGCCCCATAAAAGCTTAAAAGAAGCTAACTCAAGCTGGATGGAAGAAGGGTGCAAAGTAGAAGTAGATTGAAGCAAAGTATGGAATTCAGCAGGTTTGATCGATCACAAAAATACTTCGATCGATCGAAAGTTCATCGATCTAGATATTTCAAGATGGATCCAAGCTCTGTTGTCCTTATTTAAAGATCCCACAAAGTTAGATCGATCCAACAATTCTCAAATCGATCGAAAAGATTCCATCTTATCTTGTTGTACCACCCCACCTACCACTTTTGTCTCTTTCCCCAAAATATCTTATATCTGTCCTTATCCAAAAAGGCTCCCCCATGGGAGGATCGATCCAGCCAAAGTTTGATAGATCTCAGCTCAGTTTGATCGATCACAGCACAAGTTCGATCGATCGAACCCTCTCAAATGCGAAAAAAATATATTTCCAGCTCATTAGAAGTTGTCTTATTGTGCAATCATTGGAGGAGCCCTTGTGTACGAGCCTAGACCATTGGGTGTGACATTTGAGCTTCCTATATAAGGAATATGAGCCACTTTTATGAGGAGGTTACACAATACACAAAGACACAATAGAGAGCATTTTAGAGATAGTCTTAGAGAGGAAGAAAAGAGAAGAGCTAGAGACACTCTTGGAGGCTTTCCATCCACTTGAAGAAGAGGAGCATTCCGACCATGGAGATAGCCCTTGAAGGTTGGAGGACACCATCTATGAGTGGCTAAACATCATCTTTGGGCTAGAGTTAGCCCTAAGCATGCTTTCTTTATCTTGATTCATGTATTTTGAGGGGATTTGTGTTGTAATACATGTTTTGACATCTTTATATACATAGATCTTGTTTATATACATCGATCTTGTTTATTCAATGATTTGTATGGTTTAATTCTTCTAAGTGACCATTTCATTCTATCCATATGTCTATGTATGCTAGAATAGATGTTCATGTGTTTATCTCTATTTCTTGTATTGTTGATGCATGTCTATGTGTATTAATGCTATAGATCTAGAGATTGTCAAGACATAGTGCTTAATAGAATGCTCTTGTGGTTTATTTGGTGGTTCATACTCATTACTTGATGGATTGTGCCTCTCCTTTAGTTTAATTAGTTTAATTTTCATGTCATTAGCTTAAATGTAGTGTAGTTACCTTAGTTGTTAAATGGGAGGACAATCTATGCTTGTTGTTTGATGTTTCATACTTATGAATGCAAGTAGCATATTTCTCTAATTTTGTGATGTGTTTGGATTGTGAGCTTAAAGAAGGATTAATGGCTTAGTTTGATATATTGTGATGTTCATTGTGTTGTCTAGACAATATATACTTAATTGGTCATCCATACTTGTTGAAACAACCACACACACTCACTAATGTTGCAACATATGCCTTCCCCTCATTAATTGTGAATTGAGTGTAGAGAAAAGTGATGCTTAGTGGTGATCTCTAAAGTTCCAAGATCTCTCTTTCTTGTTTTCTCTATCCTTTAATTACTTGCTTGATATTAATCTTGTTTAGTTTTAATTGTAGTTTAATCAACCAAACAACCTACCTTTGATCACTCGACCTACTAAACCTAAGCCTTGTTTCCACTACTAGTGCACCCTCAATCCCTTGGAACGATCCCTACTCACCCTTGCTATATTTTTAGTTAGTGGTAGTAGTGACATTTATAAATATAAAACTTGGCCACACTATTTTGCACAAATTTAGCCCCACCCAAGGGGAGACACCACATATACTTTTGGTTACTTTACTTTTGTAGGAGGTAATCTTGTTACATGGAGAAGTAAGAAACAAAATGTTGTTGCTCGCTCAAGTGCAGAAGCTGAATTCAGGGGTATGGCGCTTGCACTTTGTGAAACATTGTGGTTAAGACTTCTATTGCGGGATTTGGGTTATCTACCTGGGCAACCTATTCGACTATATTGTGACAATAAAGCAGCATGCGATATTGCCCATAATCCGGTTCAACATGATCGTACGAAGCATGTTGAAATAGACAGATTCTTCATTAAGGAGAAGTTCGATGGGAAAATTGTGGAGTTGCCTAAGATTCGATCTGAGAATCAATTAACCGACATTCTCACCAAAGTAGTCTCAAATCAAGTGTTTTCAAAATTTTTAGACAAGTTGGGCATGTGTGACATCTATGCACCAACTTGAGGGGGACTACTGAGATTTTATCTTTTATAGTACAGCTGTAGGATTGAATTATTTTCTCCTTGATTTAGGGCTAATTGGTAAGTAATTAGTTACTTATTTTAGCTAGTCCTATTCTATAAATTGGATGTAACACTCATCAATGAATTATGATATAGAGTTTTTTAATTCTCATATTTTTTTTGAAGACTTTGTTGCGTTGGTGGTCCAATTGCGTAGATATGCGACGGCATCACAAATCTACAGTGGCGGTGGCAGTGACCTACGATGGCGACAACTATCTATAACAATCGGTAGTGGCGATTGAGGTGGAGATGGAGATAACAAATATAACACGTATATGTATATAACATGATTGAGGTAGAGAGGGGGTTGTAGTCGAAGACTGAGCAGGTGGCGCCAGATGCTGGCGTTAACGGCGAAGATCTAGGCCATGGTGAGGACTATTGCGATACTGGCTCGGAGCTCCGTCGTGAGGGTGGTGTTCTGTCGGCCATTGCACGTCACCTTAATGCATTATTGTTTCTACAAGAATCACTATCGGAGTCCCAGCAGACAGACGTCCAGCATCACCAACGACTTCTTCTCTTCGATAACGGTGGCGCATACTTGCACTAACAGTAGGGGCGCATTACATTCACGTGTCACCGATGGAGCTGCGAATTATGGTCTCGCTGAAACCCTTTGTTGTAAATTTCACAGACATATAGATTCGTCTCCCATCTTTTCTCCCTCTCTCTTTATCACTCCCTCAGTGTCTCTCACGCTCGCTTTGGTCTGATCTTGAAGTGCCGACGCTTTCTCTATCTCTTACGTCCTCACAGTGTCGACATAGTTGTGGTTTCTTACAGTGCCGCCACCGATGTGAACCTCCATAAGCCACCGCCGCCATCGCAAGCCGTGAACCATGGATTCCATGTTTTAAATCTTGTTTCTCACCAAAATCCATGGATTCCGACTACAATCAGATTAGATTAGGAACTGACTCTATATACATGGTGTTATACATTAGATTATGAACTTATTTATGAATTATTTAACTTGCCACTGGGATGATGGTGGCAGTTTTGAGGTGGGATGTTGGTGGTGCCACTGTAACCGCTAGAATTCATGACAGTTCTATTACTATGTGTGATGGATTTGGCAAATGACCTTTCTTTGATTGAGAGAGAGAGAGAGAGAGAGGAGAAAGAGAGTGATTTGGTGGGTTTTGTTATAAGGGTATTTTTTGCAATTAATGTTATAGATATTTTGTATTAAATTATATTTAAAAGAATTGGGATAAATGAGTCATTTTGCATGTGTCAAACCCAAAAAATAATTTGGAGTGTAAGTGAAGTTAAAACTAAATTTTTTATCTAGTTAAAAGAATAACTTAACCTAGGAGTGTTTGTGTAATTTGTCTTTATTGTTATGTCTTTTTACTTGAAGTGAATATAATTATTCTCAGTATATATATATATATATATTTCTCATATTATTATTATTATTCCAATTATCTTTTTGTAACAAAATTACCTTTGTTTTCCGACTTCTTAATTTCGTAAACTTGCTTGGTTGTGTGCCTGTGAGTTCTCCTCGACCCGTCGGCTTCCTTTTCTCAATTCGTGCTTTTTACAAATACTTTGTTAGATTGATCGCAAAATTGAAGGATCTAATCTGCATTGCCAAACCCAACTGCGAGATCTCCTCCACCCGTTGGCTTCCTTTTCTCAATTCGTGCCTTCTACAAATACTTTGTTAGATTGATCGCAAAATTGACTAAACCCAACTGGTATGTATTTCCATTCGTTGTCTTCATATATATATATATATATATATATATATATCCGCTACGCTTATTGTGTTGTATGATAAGCTCTTATGGATTTTGAGAACCAAACTGGTTTTGAAGTAATAATTGGTTTGAGGTACCAACTGGGTTTTGGGTAACAAGTATCGATACAATTCTCAAGTGACCCAATCTTTGTTTTGAACACTTCCCATATTGGTTTCACCATTTGTGTAGTGATCTATTATTTTAATTTGTGTTTTTCATTGAAACTTAATCATAATTTCAATTACTGATATGTACATTAAGACATGCATACATATATAAAAGCGTTTTTTTCCCCGTAAAGACAGACATTTTTTTTTAACTGGCTCTTTGTTGTTGATTCTAAGTTCTTTGTTTTTTTTAACGTGATTTTTTTTTTAGTTTTCTCAATTAAGAGGAAATATTGTATGATATAACTATGATAGATGGCACCTTGATGTCACTACAAAATTATGGCTTATATAACGCACACACAAGTGTCTGACTTTTTTTTATGATTAACGTCTAATTTTTAAAATACTTTGGCATTGGTTTGACAACTAAAATCATCTTAAACAAATTATTTTCGCACTGTTAGTGGAAATTTTCTATTTTCTGAACTATCACATTACAGAGTTAACCTCTTGGCTAAAGAATGTATTGACTGAACAATTACATTTTTTCTTTTTCTTTCTTTTTCTTCTAATTCAAAATTAAACAAGAATGACTGCTAATTAATAAATGAGTGATAACACAATATTAATTTTTCTAAAATGCTATTGTCTTGTGAGAAACTCCAATAACATCTCTAGTTTCTTTACATTCTATAGATTCCAATTGGAAAGTATCAGTAATTGCAATCATTAATCTATGTGTAAAGTATTTGCGTTTCACTAGTGGGAAAAGTTGATCATCCTTTTTTTTTCTTCCTTCTATTATTGTCATAAAATTCACAGTTGCCTTTACTTTGGTTCATACAGATGGAAGAGCGAAAATGTGAAGAGCTAAACATGGATTGTTTGGTGAATGTGCTTGGGAGATTGGGAATGGAGTCCCTGCTATTTGATGTTCCCTTCGTATGCAAATCACGGTACAAAGCAACTCTAAATCCTCTATGCTGGCAGCATCTTGATTTTCCTAAAACCTCAAACTCCTTCAAATCAAGATTATTGGATGAATATCGATCAAAAGGATTTAAGGCAACTGAATTGATTAAGTTAGCCATTGATCGTAGTGGTGGATCTGCTGTTTCACTAGTTGTTCCTATGTATTTTACGGATGAGGCATTTGTTTGTCTTGCGGAACGGTAAGTTATTGAAACTTCATTACAATAATCAGAAAAAAAATATACAGTTGCATGATATTGGAATATGAGAAGTTAAAGATGAAGTGTGAATACCACTGCTAGGAAAAAAGAAAAAAAAAAAAAATGGGATTTCTATCATACTGGTAATTCGTGAATAATCATCTTCATTTTTAAATTGTGCATGGTTGTTCTTTTAGTCAGAAGTTTTATAGCTGCTTCTAATTATTTTATGCTCAAAATTTGCATTTATTCATCCGAATTGTTTCTTTAGGTTGTTTGGTTTGCATTTTTAGTTTGGTAGTGGAGGCTGTTCTCCCTCCCCTTGAGGGCGGGATGAATCTGTTTGCCATGGATATTGGGTAAGCCTAGGGTTTAGTCTTGATCTCTAAGAGTTGAACAAAATCTTTGGGTCATTCTCAGATGTTTTATGTCAACTCAATTACCGTGGGGAAAAGATAAGATAAGACGTGAAAAGGAAATTCTTATTTTTTAACTTTGGTTACTGTGGAAAGGAAGGAAAATAAGATGTGGGAAAGTAGGTGTGAAACTAACAATTTCAAATGTCTTGTAACAATTTTTTTACCTTCTAATCTCATTTAACCTTGTGGGAAAATTTGAATGCCTTTTTAACATTTTTTACTTTCTAATTTCATTCAATCAGTTTTTACTTTTTAATCTTACTAACCTTATAAAGGAATTTTCTAAAACTCATGTAATGTTGAGGGAAAATAACTTCTTTTTCTTTCCTAATTTCTTGATGAAATGGGTTTCCCAACTATCTTCATTCGACTATCTTCATTTAGTGTTCTTTGCATCAAGTTTAGAACTATAGAGAACAAAGTGCTTTAATGGGAAATCTGTTGAACGGTTCTATTTAAAATAAATGTCCTTTGGGTTGTGTGGAGGTAGGGGCTTAGATGACTACACGTTACCAATTGAAAATCATTATAGTTCTGAAAAAAATGTTTAAATTTATTTCACAGTGATTTTTCTGTTGGCAGGTGCCCTGCCTTGAAATTTCTGACGCTGCCTCTTGTAGCATCAAATGAAAGTCCCTTCTTTTCAAGATTTATAAGCAAGTGGAAAAGTTTGCAGATGTTAGGCTTGGAAGCTCCCGTGATATGAAAGCAATCCTTCCCCAAGTCAGCCTTCATTGTAAGAATTTTGTTGATTTAGGTATTTCCGGAGGCTACATTGAGAAAGATGAATCATTGCTTATAGTCACCTTACTGCCAAACATAAAGTGTTTGGATCTAAGGCAGACATATCTGAATCGGGAGGCTCTTGTAAGGATTTTGAAGTGCTGTAGAAACCTTGTGTATTTTGATGTTAGAGACTGCGAAGGTTTTGAGGGTGACGAAGAGATATTGAAGCTTGCTTCTCATATTCCTAACTTCATTTATGGTTCAAGAGTGCCAGAAGAGGGCTTGATATGTACATTTTCAGGAGTGCCGGATGATGGCTGGAGTGAAGATGAGAGCGATGATGAGAGTGGTGATGGCTTTACCATCCACCCTGGCGGAAATGGCGAGTGAATTTCATTACATCATTTACATTTTTGATTCAAGGGCAAACATGCCCTGGGCTGGCGCCCGTCCTGGTAGTGCTATATATTTATTGTCCTCCTGTTCTTCTTGATAAAGGTCAAAGCTGCTGTGATTAATGGTTGGCTAATTTAAAGAGTGTTTGCCATTATTTAAAAATCCAGAGTTGGTTTGAGAAAATCAATGTGTTTCTGTTATTCGGATAAATTAGTGTTGGACTATCGGTTTATTATTAGTTGTCATTTGCCTCGTCATTCTTCTAGTCTTTGGTTGTAATGGTTGTGATTCAATTTGATTACTAGTAAATTATGATTTTCAAAAACAATCTTTTCTGGTGCATTATGTAATTTTTATATATACCTCTCTTGCTGAGGTGATTCAAAGTTTTGTTATGATGATTTCTTATTTTCTTGGAAATTTGAAATTTATATTAATCTGGGAGAGAATTAAAATAGGGTAGGTTGCGTCTAACAATTAAAAAGGAAAGTTGCAATGAGAAACAAAAGATGTCTAGGATCCTATGGTGGTTCCTAGTCTGGATTTGTCCGCGAGGCCCCTTCCATGGCCTACCCTTGAAATCCATTTATGGTAATTTTAGGTTAAAGATATGACACGGTTCCTATTTTTTGGAGAAACCTGATACATGAACGTTTTAATTTTAAATTTGGAAAGCTGACACAAAACTCTTGAATTTAGATTCAAGAATCACTCAATTTAGATCTAAAATGAGCAAGTTAGGACCATTTGAAGACAGGACATCAAAGCTGCCAAGCAATAGGAAATAGTCGGCTCAGTTGACAACTAAGTCGGCTCTTTTAGGTTGAGAGCATGAAAAATGAAGAAAATGTAGCGGGAATGAACCAAGTTGACTCGGTTGAAGAAATAGTCACAGCCCCTTAGGCTGAGTGCATAAAAAAAAAATGAAGAAAATGAAGACCGAATGAACTAAGTCGACTCCCTTAAGAACTGAGTCGGCTCGGTTGAAGAAAGAGTCGGTTCGGTTGGCAATTGAGCCAACTCAAATCTGGAAAGAAAGCAAAAACAATGCAGCCGAAGTTGCTATCTGACACAGGTCCAATGGAATACCTAAACATGCATTCTAAATTCTCAAAAATGATTTCATTGATACCCAAAAATGATAAATAAGCTCCCTAAATATGAATTGTCTTTTGCAAGTGTGTGTTAACATACCTATGAACGTTTTAATTTTAAATTTGTACCCTCACAAAATTCTATGACAATGACGTTGGGTTCCTATAGGAGAAGATTGTGGTTGGGTGGGTCCAAATAATCATGAGTGAAATGTTTACGTGTGTTCATGTAGGATAGTGTCATTTTCAAACTAGTAATTAGTACGAGGCTTTTTAAGAAAAAATTAAAAAACAATAGCTTTTTCATTAACTTTATATTACACTGAAATCGCTTAAAACAGTAATTGCCAATACAATCACTGAATTACTTTGCTTTCTTTCTTCGAACACTCTAGAGTTAATGTAATAATATAAAATTGTTTTACTTTGTTTTCTTTCTTTGAACACTCTAGAGTTAATGTAATACTATATGTAATACTATAAAATTGTTTACAATTTAGAGCTTAATCAACTGGACTCTCAGACTCGGTTTGGTTAGATAAAAATTGAAAATGAAAAGTTTGGTTAGATAAAAATTAATAATGAAAAATAAAAGTAAAAAAAAGTGAAGTTAAATGAAAAGAAAAGAATTTTTTTTACCATGTATCTGTTTAGCATGAAAAATTTTCAAGAAAAAAAATGAGAAATCACTATTTAATAATTTTAATAACATGAAACTTACCATAAAAAGAAAGATTTTATTGCAAATAAGACATTATCAAGAAATCAAAATTTTCTTATATTTTTTTGTAGGAAAACTTTACAGTATAATTATGAAAGCGGGCCAAAACGCAACCCAAAGACAAACAAGTATCCAAGGCACTCTGGCCTAAAAGTTGGCCCAACAAGAATGAAAAGCCAGTGACACCTTAGAAATCCAGAAACAAGCCCAATTAGGGGAAAACAGAGAGTCGTCGTTAACGGGTATATGAAGTGGCCAATTAGCCATTAACATTGGATACAATAACATAATATGTTATACACCGACCAACCAATAAATCCTTAATTTTCTTTGGACCTACTCTAATTTTGTGACATGAAATATTGATAACTAATCTTCACATATATGGGAATTTTATTATACTAGCGCATTAATTATATAAATTTGTGTGTAATGTATATATATATATATATATATATAGGGTAAAGTGCAATAAACCCCTCTGAACTATCAGCTAATAACACAAAATCCCCCCTAAACTAAGTATTACCCCCTGAACTATTTAAAAAGTGCAAATTGAGGACACAATAAAAAATTGCCGGCACGAGAGGTAACCAGAGATGCAAAATTACCAAATTACCCTTACAAAAAAATCCAATTACAGAGTGACAAACCCTAATTACGTGCCGCTGCAATACCCAGAATGCTGCCACCACCGTCGGAGGAAATGAAGACAACTACGGCCAGAAGAGAGGTTGTAGAGATCAGCGCCAAGCCCAGACCAACGCCGCCATGATGTGAAGAGGAGCATCCTTAAAGTGGCCAATCATCTCCAATTTTACTACAATCACGGACCAAGATTCCTGCCTGCTTCAAAGCCCAATCAATCTATGCATACATATCTTCATCTGGATCATCCATGGCGTCGGAGAAGAGACTGTAGCCGTTCGCCGGAATCCATATCCGGCCATTAATGCCCACCGTCCCACTCTCTCTTCCCACCACCATCTCTGCCGCAAATCCCGCCACCACCACCGCCACTGCCGCCATAGTCTCTCACTAGCACTCCATCGTATTGAAAACTAAATTACTCAATCGAACCCTACAAACTCACTGCTGCCACCACCATCATCGCTGAACCAATTAAACCACTAATTTTTTTTAAGGCACGCCACCATAAGGTCAACCAATCAAGCAAAAATCTTCTCTCAAACAATTTTACCCAATCGACTACAAAGCCACCGTCACTGCCATCATCACCAAACTAATCTAACCATAATTTTTGGAAACTCAAATAATTCATATTGAACCACCCAAGCCACTGTTATCACCCACCACTTCTACAACCACCATCACCGCTACCATGGCTTCGATCATCGCCGGAAAAAATGATGAATCAGTTCTAGGGTTTGGATTTATTCTCCATATGATTGAGTATTTCCTTTTGCGATGATTCATTGTGTTGGAGGAGTTTGGGCTCTAGCAGCAAATGGGTGAATCTCAAAGAATTTTGTAACATTGATATTGATTTTGTGATTGGGTTTGTGAAATTTAGTGTCTATAGTTGTTGATGGGATTGCAGATAATGAGTACCAGAGAGAGATGCGATTTGGTAGGGATAAGCCTAATTAGAGTTAGGGTTAGCCAATTGGGGTTTTTATTGATTTAACCCTATAAGGGTAATATTGTCATATTTAAATTACAGTGCCTATTTAACCAAAAAATTTGGACTAAACAGTGACATCGCGTGTTTTTTGCAAAAAGTGGGATAGGTTAGGGGGTTTCTTGGGAAAGAGAGTATAGATCAAGGGTGTTTATTGCACTTTACCCATATATATATATATATATGCAAACTTGACACTCCATGTAATGCATGAATATCCTCCACGAAAACGTATGTTTTTAAATGAAGTTAGCAGGGCTTGACAAACTACTTCTACCCCTAAAAATAAGATTTAAAATGTACTTATCATAAATAATAATAATAATAATAATAAAGATTTAAAGTGCAAATCACAACTGTATACCATTTAAACTTGTCATTTTCAAAAATAATTTCAAGTTCATTTGTTCTTTAAATAATTTAAAGTAGAACACATCATTGCCAACATCAAGACTACCACATTTATATATATATTACACATATGAATTTTTATATATTCACTACATAAAAATTAAAAATTAATCTTTAAAAACGTTGAAATTTGTCCTCAACACAATCCTCTAAATATAAAAAAAGGTAAAGTGTAATAAATTCCTTTCAACTATCAGTTAAAAGCATAAAAACCCCCCGAACTAATTAATGTCCCTCAATTATTGAAAAAGTGCAATTTAAGGGTCATCGGAGATGTTAGATTACCGAATTTTCCTTTTAATAAAATGACATCTTTATAGTTATTATTACTAACGTGGCTAATCTCAAAAGCCAATAATATTGCGCCAACACATCACCTGATCACAATTTCACCTAAATTTTAGGCCAAACACCACACCAACGCGCTAATCACCACCCACTCAAAGCCTTTGTAATCACAGTCACAGCTCTTTCTCTAAACACTACAACAACTTCCATCGTCCAGGGAAGTCATCACCACCTCTCTCTTTTGTTGAAACCCTCTTTTGTCGATAATAAAAACAATGAGGGGTCTGAGGGACTCCTTATCTCCTCTACTAATGATGATTTTTTTATAATGACCCAGTCATTTTTTCTCCTTTCATTTTTCTCAAATTTTACGGATAAATTTTTTTAGTTTAAATTTCTTTTTTTTCGAGTTCTGTCTCTCATCATTGGGTGTTGTCTCAAGTGCTTGGAAATGGTTTCTGAGACTCTTTCATTTAGATTGACAACTTCCTTTAAAGACCGAGTCATTTTCACATTTTCACTTTTTAGACACTATTCACCTTTTGTCTTTTTCCCGTTTGTCACTTTGTTGGCACAACTTCACTTTTCGTGTTTGGTTTTGCTTCCACTTTTGCATGCACTCATGATATGTGATTTCTTAGAAACATGTATTTTTACTTTCCTAGAAATGCATGTCATTAGTGTACCTTCTCCCTTAGGGGTGTGGATGCACACTTTCTTTGGAAACTTTCTTATTTTTGGGGTTACTTGTGTAATTACTTAAAGTAATTATTTTTTGTCTTAGGGACCATTTTGCAATTTAATTTAGAAGATATTTTCAAAAAGGACCATTTTGTAA